CAGTGTATATAAATACCTCAAGGGAGGGAGTGCAGAGGACGGTCATGGTCTCTTTTCAGTGGTGGCCACTGATAGGACTAGAGGAAATGGCCGGAAACTGAAACATCAAAAATTCCATAGGAACTTAAGGAAAAATTTCTTAACAGTGAGGGTGACAGAGCACTGGAACAGGCTGCCCAGAGAGGTTGTAGAGTCTCCTTCTCTGGAGATCTTCAAAACCCGCTTGGATACAGTCCTGTGTCACGTGCTCTAGGTGACCCTGCGTGTGCAGGGGGGTTGGACTAGATGATCTCTAGAGGTCCCTTCCAACCCTAAGCATTCTATGATTCTATGATTCTATGGAGACAGTTAAGTTGCTTCTCCGTAATTTCTTTTATCCTGAAGAAATCGGCATTTTCAGAGTGAAGAAGAAAAGTATCTTTTCATAGTTATATGTTGGTTTATGAATAAAGCAGATGACTGAGTTCAGCCTTAATACTGCTGACCTGCTTGGAGTGGTGAGGTTAGGTTAGCTGCGACTGCTTCTCAGTTACAAGTTCTCTAGAGAAATGCTGTTGGAAATGTGTTCTTCCTCGCTCAGGTTTTTGGTTCACCAGATATAGTGTTATTTTGTGACGAGGAAAAAAAAAAATGCTGACCCATTCTTCTGAATTTCAGAATTCTCAACGTTTGCCAGAAAGATATCGAAGACATGCTCTTTTTGGTAGCGGAAAAGACTGGCCAGAGAGTTGGTGGAAATCACTGGGCCAACAGTTGATGAATGAGGGGTTCCTCAGAGAAGTCTCTGGGCATAGCAAATTTGCAACCATATGTGTGCTTACCCAGAAGGTAATTTTCGTTGTAAAACAATCTCGTTAGTAAGTTCTCTTCAGCAATCTGCAGCTGAACCCATATGGTGTTTCTTACAGGGCAGAAATTGGCTTTCAAAAGCTGGATCTGCCTCAAGTCCAAGCCTTCTCTTACAGTCTAGTGAAGACCTAAATCTAAGGAAACCTTCTAGAAGGTAATTGGAGCATGCACACTCTTCAGTGTTCCTTTCATGTTATTTTTAACATCAAACAGGTTGCTTCTTAAATTTATATTTAGTATACAGCAATTCTATGGTACTGTTGGTGTTTAAATACCAATTCTGTCCAGAACTTTTGAGTTGCAGAGTAATAAACCAGAGGTTGCAGTGACTTTGACATAGCAACAAATAGCTTCAGAAGCAAGTTCTTCAATGGAGACCTTTCAGCTGCCTGCATTGTCATTACCTGATTATTATCTTATATATTTTTAAGTGATCACTTTTTAGCAACACTAGGCTAGAGAACACTTTTTTTACCTTTTCTATAAGACTAGATTTTACCGGGGGGGAAAAAAAAAAATTCCAGTAATTCTAGCACGCTTTCATCGCTCGTTTCCCAAAAGGGATGAATAATTTTTATTTTACTTTATTGTTCCAAAAATACCCCTATACAAAGTTGAGTTCAGTTTCCTTAGCAACATAATGATTGTCCGTTTGATTCCAATAAGATTGAATTGATTTTCTTACAGCAGTAGACCTTGCACTGCGGTTTCCGAACAGCGTTCCCCGTGTGGGAAAGTAACGAAATTGTCACCAGTCAAACAGGTCTGTACAAGTACAGTCCTTCTTGCATTCGGTAGTGCCTTGTTGCTTGTATTAAAAGCTTTAAACTATATTATGGACTCACAAATTAGTGTTTTGCTGCTTATAGTCTTTGCATTGCAAGGACTTTTAAAATAGCATTTGTTTGTCTTGTGTTTTGAATAGATGTCTTTGTATGAAATGTTTTCTTATGAGAGAAAAGGAAAAACTTCTCCAGGAAACGATGCACTTAACAGGTAATCTAAATTAAAATGGATAGCAGTGTTAAACTATGTAATAAGGATACTGCTTGTAATGTGACCCTTAAAATGGTATTGCTACTTCTAGCAAGGAACTTGATGCTGGCAGAAGATTGGAACATGGGAAATGTCATTTAAGCTGAGTAATTATCACTGTAGCTGTACAGGGAAAAATTGTTTTAGGGACAACTATATTCTAAACTGTGTGTTATTTCATATTTGGCTCGATAAATCAAGGAAAAGATGCTCTTAAGCTAGCTTGGCTTCTTGCAACATTGCAGTACAGCACCAGCAGTCTAATAACTAGTCTAATAACAAGGGGAGCCTATAGACTTTGAGCTGTGACATGGCTGTCTGTTTGGATGCACCTAGCTGTAACAAAAGCTAATTCTGCTTGCCATGCAGCAGCTCTGTCTTTGCCACTGATATTTTTACATTTATTAATTCTGGCCAGGATTAGCATTGTCAGCAACAAGGGGAAAAAACACAAGCTGCTGCTTGTGGAGTACTTTGAGAATAATGTTACATATGTACAAGGGCTTGTACTTCTCCCAATATGGGAATCCAGCTGTAGGTAGAGATCTAGGTGGTTTGTTTGTAAAACTGCAGTTCTCATCATACGCCTGAGTTTTATACCATAGAAAGTTACTTGTAAGTATAGGATCAGCCCTACAGAGGTATCTGTCAGATTTGGCTTTGAGATGCTGTCTGTGGAAAGCCCAAGGGCTAAAGTGACATAGTTTCCTGGAGATGGTCATTGAAATGCTATGAAAATGCTAACAACGCCAAAAAAAAAGAATTGGTGATTGCTCTCCCACATCCGTGTATCAAGTACACGAATAAACTGGTGTCCTACACAAGCGCTGACCTAATGCTGCTTTATTTTTAACTAGGGTCTCTGGGTGCTCACCAGTCAAAGCTCTTCCTTCAAAATCTGAAGAATCTGTTTCATCTCATGAAAAAGAACTGCAGGTAAGTGTGAAAGCAGAAGGATATCTATGAATCGCAGTCAAACTGCAATCTGGGCAGCACTTTAATATGAGGAATTTGTTTTGAATGGAAGTTCTAGAAGAATTAAAATACATTAAGATTGTTAATGGACTGCAATATTTGGTTTTGTGTATTTGAGGGGAAAGATGAAGAATGCTGTAGTGGTGGGGCGGGATTTTTTACTTCTTCCTTAGTTTAGTTTTTTTGATGTGCTTGATCTAAAGCTTCTTGGAAAAAAAAAATGGCGCTCTCCTTCACAGACTGCCCTGTATGGCAAGCTGTTGACAGCTAGGCAGAAGCTGGCTAATGAGAAGGAAATTCCTCCAGCTGTCCTGGCAACCAATAAGATCCTTGTGGAGATGGCCCAGATAAGGTAGGGTCTGCAGGCAAGCAGACATGTAAATGCAAAAGATGGCAAAGCCAGGTCAGTAAAACAAAACTAAGCTAAGCAACTTCTCTGGTGCCAGTGACTTGCATAATTGTGTTTCCATATGTGCTTCTAGTTCAGCTAGGTTTTATACCAGTGGAGATGTTAACAGATTTCCAGCTTGTTGGATAACTTAGTGCTACCAAAAAATGGGGTGGTGGGGGGAATAGAGGGCGTCTGTTTGAGTGCTTTTGTTGTTCACCCTGAACCAGGCCTACAACTGTTGAGAATGTGAAGAGAATTGATGGTGTATCTGAAGGAAAATCTACCATATTGGCCCCTCTCCTGGCAGAAATTAAGACGTTTTGCCAAGTGAATAATTTGCAGGTAACTTTCAGGATTTAGCAAAGTGTCTGCTACATTGCAAGAGCCTGAAAGAATTAATCTGGTCTGCAGCTATCCTACTTCTCCTTCACTGGTGTGTGTGTGTGTTCAGTTCTTTTCATTACAGTTGTCCCATCCAACTATGTTAGCCTTGACTGTGAATGTTTCCCAAATTGGAGTATGCTACTTATTTTGCTTAAGCAGACCTGGACCCTGGTTTGGGGGTGGTAGAGAGCAGGTCTTCAAGTCCCTTGGACAATCTCATGCTTGTTTTATTAAGGCAAGTATATGTAGGTGTCCATCTTGTTTCTTGTTTTGTTTTTGTTTTGCTTTTTAATTCTAATGCTTTTTTTTCCCTGTGCAATATGGAATGCCAAACCAAGATGTCAAACTCCATTTCTGATATTCCCTCACATTACATAGGGGAGGTTGATCTATTGGTTCATTCATCCCTAATTTCTCTTTATATCATTCAGATGGATGTATTTCCTATGTCTGGATCTGGAGAACAGAAGAAAACAACTCCCTGGAAGCAAGCTGGAGTGCTCTCTCCATCAGAGCATGTCACGTATGTCCTATTTCAAGAGAAGAATCTGTCCTTGGTAAGAATTTTCCCCAGGGAGGTCTTTTCCATGTTTAAAGTTAACAGCAGAGATATTTTATGTAATACATGAGGGGCTTGTGAGTTTTTTGCTGTTAAATCGTCTGCTGGAGAGGGTTTCTGTAAAGCACTGAGGCTGCATCTTCCCTGGTAAATAGTCGCTCACTTATCTGTACTGACAAACTGAAAAATATGAAGAACTGATCTATCTGTGAATGAGGCTACAGTAAGACAGTATCCAGCTTCCCACTGACAGTGCCTGGCCTGCAAAGTGCTTTGGGTTTTTTGGGTGCTGAGAAATGTCAGCATCCCCTGGTTACTCTCTGAGAATGAGAGCTTGCCAGGCTTGGGAGTTTCATTTTATTTAGGACATTTTTATCACCTTAACTTCTGTCATTGTTTCCCCAGCGGACTATAAGTGAGAGCAGATCTCTTCCTCTTTCTGAGGTTGGCACTCACCTGTGCCAGGCAGTGAAAGCTGGCTGCCCTGTCAATCTGGAACGAGCAGGTTTGACTCCGGAAATTCAACGGATGGTTTCCGATGTTATCCGTAATCCTCCCATTGACTCAGGTGAGAATAGCAGCACTGAGTAGTACAGTGCACAGAGGGACTGTGAAAAAGGGACACACTTTGTGTGTGTATTGATATACATATATTTAAGTGTTTTTGTTTCTTTGTTTTCAAGATACAACCAAAATTCAAGCAATCAGGAAGCTAGTTCCTGCAGATATTGAAATGTATCTCATCAGGATGACTATTGCAATACTGGAAAAAGAGGACGGAAATAGACCTCAGGATGGATCAGGCAACAAAAGGACCCTGGAGTGGTTAAGCAGGCAGAAAGTAAAAAGAGGAGCAGATGAAGCAAGCAGGGAAAATGCTTTGGGGACAGAAACAAAGGTTAGTAAGAGAAGCTATAAAACTGGTGAGGAAGCCAGCGGCAATGCCTGCCAGAACTGTCTGCCAGTCTTTCAAGGTTACTTCTGTTGCCTTGAGATGTCTGGGCATAGCTGTGATCAAAGCAAAAAGCATCAAGCTGTAAGTTCAAGTCGCACAAAGGAAACCTCTTTTCAGAACAGAAAATGAGGAGTGCTCAACTGGCCTCTGATTATCCTACCTATATCCCAGGTCTTAGCTCGGTGCTTTACTCAAAGGCCACCCTGCGCTGAGTACCTCATGAGAGGACTGTTGAAAAGAAATTCCAAACTGTGAATCCTTTTACTGCTTGCACTGGGATTTACTGTCTGTTATGTACAGGGGTTTGAGTTGAGTGTGTGTGTGTGTGTTTTTTTTTTTTTTTTTTTTTTTTTTTAACTTCGACTTAAATAACTCTTCAAAACTTGCCATTTCAGCAAATAGATTTCCTTGCCTTTCAGATTCCTTTTTTGGTTTCAAAATGTCCACATTGTAACTCTTTTTCCCAAAGTTGACCCCCAACAGTTCAATTGCTTGAGCTATATATTTTTTTCCATTTTATAGCTAGATGCTGCAGCTAATAACCAGAAAAAAAAAAGATATTAGAAATTAGATAATGTTATAAAAAAGAGTAGACTAGGAATCTGAAAGCTAGTTGAAATAGTCTTCACTGACTTATATCTTCTGAAGGAGATATAACTCCCTGAAGCAAACAGTCTTGAAAATGTGACTTTGGTTATTCTGAAAAGCTGATGATTTGAAACTTTGCCCCATTATGCACTAGACAACATGTATTCTCTAAGAGCTTAGAGAAATCTATCTATGCTCACTACTCCTTTTTCAAAACTAACTCCTCTGCTGGAAAAACACATCAGAAAACAGCATTTTTGAGTAAAAAAAAAAAAAAAAAAAAAAAAGTTCACAGATGAGAAACAGTAGTGATCTTATGTGGAGGTGTTAATTTGCTTTATGAATTACTGAGCAATTTGCTTTTAAGAACAGCTTTCTATTTAGTTAGTAATTTGTATTGCAACCTTAATGCAGTGATAAGTTTAGCAGCCTGGTTCCCTTCTCTCCTATGGAAAGGCCGTATGGAGTACGGATGACAACCAGCCTGGTACCAGTAAAGGAAGTGCAGCAGGTGGTCAGATGCCCATCACAGGGGCCTGGAAACAGCCTGCCCCCAATCTGGATGAGGAGGAACAGCTTCCTGACTCTAAGCCAAAGGTGAGGGTGCCTGTAGCTCTGTGCTATGAACAGACTGCAGATCTTCATGCAAAGTCTAAATCCTAGCTTATTTCTGGTGTCTTCTGTGCCTAAAACCTTGATAGAAAGGCTTGGTGTGAAGTGTGCCCAGCAGCAGCCTCTCGTTAATATGTTTAGTGTAATGATATCTTCCCCTTTCCTGTTGTTTTTGCCTGTGCCTGAATATGCCACTTCTTGCCAGCCCTCTAGTGGAAGAGGTTTCCAAACCCTAGAGAACATTTTGCTAGTTTTCCTCTTTTGCATACAAGGTGGTTTGAAATTGCATGTTGACCACATGAAGGATTTTTGCATTAGTATTGTATGAAATGTAATCTCATAAAGCATGTACGTCATGTTTGTCTAACAAGAGCTTGCTTTGCTCTGAGCAGCACCCCTCCTGGTACACAACTTGCACTGAACTCCTAGTTTGAGGCTGGGAGATACCGATGTGCTGTTTTCTTTGCTCTTGGGACAAGTGTGGGGAATTTTGTGGGGGTTTCTTTTCCAGTTGGTTGGTGTGTTTAAGACAATTCCTGAAGACTTCCATAATAACTATTGCTTTTGAGTTTTTTCCACGTTGAACTTTTAAATCTTTCCAAGGTTTACTTTTTTTTTGCTAGTGTTGTATAATTCCTGTTCACTTACCTGCAACACCTTTTTAAAATAGTTGAGCAATAAGCTTTTCAGGAATAGTGCGAACACCTGAATCTCTCCTACTGAGTATGGCTTTAAACACAGAACTAAGCAGATTAGTGTCAAACAGTTTAAACATTCTTTTGTGTGAGATATATATATATTTTTTTCTTTTAGACTTCAACTCTCCCTTCTAAGAGAAAAGTGCCCGAGTGGTTTGGAGCCCCTGGAGCAACTATTTTATCTGTTGAGAAAAGACCAAAAACAGCCACAAGAAGAGGGCTTTTTAACTGAAAGCTTTGTCTTGCCCCCTCCCCCTTTTGTTTTTCTCCCTCCTTCAAGGTGGGATTTTCCCCCCCCCCTTCCCTGCTCTTCCTCCCTCTGCTCCTGTCAGCCTTCTGACAACCATTTGCCAAAAAACGGACCCATTACTTAAATTTCTGAACTTACTCCTCTACCTTCGTCGGTGTTGAAAAGACACAGTGCATCCTACCTTCTTCCTTCCTTTTTTCCCATGCTTCCTTCTTCTGTGAGAGCCATCACTGCCTTGACCCAGAGGAAGAACATTCAACTTTTTCACTGTGTGAAATTCCTTGCTGAAAGACTATGGAATAAAAATAAATAATAATTATTTAAGAAAAAAAAAGAAAAAGAAAAACCCACGGCGCTTTCTCCCTTACGCGTTGGAGCAGCCGCTTCTGGAAGGGCCG